AAGATAACATTATCCGCATATATGTTTTTCTTTTTTTATTTAAAAATTTTAACCCTTTTATTTCTAAGATAAAAAATAATTATATATATAATTTTTTAAAATTAATTTATGATACATCAATATAATTTTTTAGTTTACAATAAAATTTTTAAGTTGTATTAAGATTTTATGTGAAAATAGTTTGTAGTTTATTCTAAAGTAAAACTTGAATTTTTTAAAAATTTTGATATGTTTTAAAATATAAATTATAGAGTATTATATTAAATATTATTCTAATTGATCTAACTAATTCTTAATTACAATAAATTTTCAATATAATTAAGTGTTATATTGACAATTACTTTTATTTTATTCAAGAAATTATAAGTGAAATCCAAATCAAATGAATTTCAAAAAAATTAATTTCTCAACACTATTAAAAAATCACTCTCAATCACATAATTCTAAAAAAAAAGGAACTTTAACTATTTTTTTTTCCCTTATAGTTAGAATAACATATTTTAGAAATATACTAAGTTTTTATAATCCTATAATAGAATATGAGTAATGAAAAATTAAGTTTGATAAATTTAAAATAATATTTAATTCAGATAGACATATACTAATATATTATATCAATTTTTATATAAAAAAATTATTCACGTGCAACGTGCGTGGTGCATTGCTAGTCTTGATAAGTGAAAATCATTGTTAAGTAATCCAATAACTTTATTAGTATAATAAGTGTATTATCATATCATCACTTTGACAATGTCAAATCAAGTCACAACTTGGTAGGGTGATGTCATGTCAATATTTTATATAATTTCATTGTAATTTTAAAATGCACAACCAGATCTATTTAAACCATAATTCATATCTGTGTAAACCATAGGAAAAAAATGGCCAGGCACACATTAAATAGGCAATCTAACCAAATCACTAAAGGTTCTTCATTATTCAATGAACAACAAAGTTTATCTTTAGCCAACGAATGTCAACGCTCAACTAACCAACCAGCATCGTAGAAGATAGTTTCTTCTATTAGATCGTATATAGGTCTCAGTGGTGTAACATGGTACGGACAAAAGCGTGAGTTCCGCAATGAGCTCATCGACACTTATAACCCATTCGGGCATGTTGGACACTTAACTATTAGGCCTGCGACCTACAATCCGCCTTCGGGTGTTTATTTTGAACTCACACTAAGATGACAAGAGTTATATGACAAACATTGTGAGATTGAAGTATATTATTGTTGACATGGACTAGTGGTACCAAAAACACGTTCGACTGATATATATCATCCACAGAACTCAAACAACCATGACGAGATGATAATTAGGCTTGAACGTGAAAATGATTAGATACATCGTCGACTTGATCGTTTGCATGCAATCAAGTTTACAAAAATTGAGCATTTCGATTCTATCTATGCTAAGATTGAAATTTTAGAGGATTCATTACTTGTTTCCGATCCTGAACTTTTTGATTTTTTTAAATTTAAGTGATGATACATCAGACACTTTTATTCCATCAAGTTTATGTGTATGGGGTCAACTTCTTTGTTGTTATAAACATCAAACATATTATTGTCAGACTGTATATTATACAGTCTCATGTAATAAATTTATTTTTTTAATGCATAAGTATCATTTTTCATAAGTTGCATTTTTTGTTATGTTTATGGTTTATAAAATTTTGGGTGAAACATGGCATTGTTCAATGAACTTATAGCATTGCTTTGGATTTAAAAAAAAAAAAAATTTGTTCAAACAAAAATTGAAACATGATAAGTAATTAAATATGACAAAAACAAATTGTGTGATTAAAAGGCATCATTCCAAATGATGATTTTAAAGGACTTAAAGTGTAACCTAACACCGTAAGGTTACCGTTTAAATTAGTTGTTGAAAGACATTATTTAGAAGCTCATATCGTTTAAAGCCCATACCAAGAGTAAATAGAAGGATATTTTCATAACTGACTTATAGAAATAGCTAATGGTCTAGGTTGTCCAAGTATGACCTCATATATAGGAATTCAGATCTTCCATGTTAAATCATGAGGAGAATATTAATCGTTTTTAGCTCAGGTCAGGTGTTTGGATCAAGCTCCTTTATACAAGAGTTGACTAAAAGAATAAGAGATCATCTTAAACAAAACGAACTCACAATAAGATCTNTAAAAATAAGAAGAAAAAAACTAGAAGTTCCATGTTCCATTCAGCTCTTCTGATGTTTTTCCACATATGCCTGAAAAGAAATGAAAATATGAAGATGGTAAGCAAAATATTGTCAACTGGCGCAACAAAAATTCAACTTTTAGTGAACACACGAGGGTTACAATTTTAGGTACTCCAAATTAGGTTAACGACATCAAATCATTTCAAGCTTTCACTTTTGGTCAGGGATCTGGCTTGAAGGAAAGGGTGAGTTATCACAGCAAAAAGTGATGACATGATGAATTCAAGAAACAGCAATCACAAAGTACCTATGGAGTAAGGTTTTCAAACAACAACAACAACAACANATGGGTATAAATACAAGAGGCGGACCCTTATACAAAAACCATCTCTGCAATTTTAACCTTATCTTCTCCCCTAAAGCAATAGTGTCGAATTGCGTATCATTTTTTAAAAATAATGTATCGTATCGTGTATCGTAAGATACGCATAATTTTAATTATTAAATAATTATTAATAAAATATATATATATATACTCATACTCATAATAATATAGTATTTTATTAATATTTCACCAACTATTCAAGTTCCCAACATATTTCAGTAATATCAAAATGTAAAGATCTCTAATTCAAACTTTTAACATTAACTACTTGAATAACTTTAATATTAATCAGGAATTTTGAATTCAATTGAACAATATTAACATGAGACTTTATTTTATTTTTTTTAAATCATAACCACTGAAACGACGTTATTTCACTGGTTAGAGATTTAAAAATAAGTTGTAGGATAAAATAATGTCATTTACCTATCAGATGTACTGTATCGTACGATACGGTGCAAAAATAATACAGATATGTGATACATATCGTTTTTCAAGTATATCGTGACATATCGTACGATATATATTGTGTATTGTACGATACTAAAAACTATGATAACAAACCTCCCAATGAGTAAAATACTTCATTCGAGTGGATTAGCCAAAATCTTCAGGTGGTGAACCACTATAATCTGTGTTCTAACTTGTTCCTCAACTCTTACCCCTGTTTTACGATTACTATTGCATTTTTTGAAGCCACCAGGCTTAGCCATAGGACAATGTCATCCTCACTGTTCATTCACACACCACTGTTTATACACCTTGAGCTCTTTAGTTCAAGCACCCACCTCACATTTCGAGTTCATACATCATCAGTGCCTTTGGCTGGTAGGATTACTTGAACGTATATTGCATTGTTCCTAACCATTTTAATAGTTAATTTAATCATATTTCACTTGTATGATTTTGATTAATTACTTGTAAAATGATAATGTAGGCCAACAAGTTTGCCGTGGAATACTGCAATGAAAACCATATGAATGTAAAGAAAGATTGTATCTCACACCGAATGATTAAGATCACATGACGTTGATTTATATAATTGAGGGACTACTCCACTCATTGTTAATTAGTTTTGGATTGGATGCCGTAACATGACTTTGAAATTAAGTTTTGAATGGTCAATAAGTCAAGCCTCTTGCCCATCTCACGTGAGGGTAGGGTGCAACTCAAGTTTTGGTTGCAGTTTGTATAAGTCTATCAGAGCATTTAATGACAAGGGTTAACACGAGGGATCCACAACATTCATAAAACTAACCAAACGTTAGATTGGATACAAATCAGTCATTTGTAGCATGTTGGGTTGTATTGGATAGGATGCAACATAACCAGTCCTGTGAACCGAACAGTACCCATATACATCCACACATCCTCTGTGCTTATCATATTTTATTTAAGTAATTCTCTAGTCTTACATTCCCCATCGACTTTGGTATCTTTTTATCTTCGAGCTTTTTTTCTTTTTGGCAAAGTTTCGTCTTAGATCTTTACTATCCCTTTTGGATGTATATTTTTACTTAAATCGTATTTAATACATGTAATGTCGGTTCCACTTATTTTGATTTCTCATCAGCAAGTACCATACATCATAAGCTATCATCCTAATGCATGCCAGTTTTATCTTTTCTAAAATTCAATCATGTTTTATTACTAACCAGGAAAAAAAAACAAAAACATTTTGTACCTCTCAAGCTTATAAAAACCATACCAACAAACATTTTCCGCCAACTGTCACTCTTAAGTAAACAAGTAGTTTTCATTGCTGACCTTTCGGACCTAAATCTAAGAAAGTTTGATTTCTGGAGATTTTTTTTTTCGACAAAAAGGGTATCAAAACGACTTGAACGCTGGAGAACCCAGTTCAGCATGACTCCAACTCAGGCCTTTCAACCCTCAAAGGAATCAGGGGATGAAAAACCCTATATCAGAATTTTGCAACCTAGAAACAAGATAAGAAGAAATGACCTCTTTCAACCAATTGCAACAATTCACCGCCACTGGTACAGGGAAAGACTGAATGTGACAAAAGCCCAATAGAACATAAACCAAGATGTCAGGTTTACTAGAACTAACAAGCGTGGTTACCAAGAAATGAACTATTCATATTACTGCCGCCCCGTGTGCATTGCCCCTGGCATTTTCACCATGAACATCAAAAGTGACATGGGCTTCCAATGGGAAAAAAAACCTAGAGGACAGGTAAGCTCTCAAGTTATATGACTAATTACACGACAACCAATATAACGGATGCCATTAGGCATGCAGAGACAAGATAAAGCAGGGCAATGAATGGATAACTAGCAATCACATCCTGTAAAACTGTAAATCATCAGAATAGTGACCAGGAGAATACCAACAACGAAGGGACATTCAGCTCAAATGGTAATGCCTGGTGGTCCAACTCAGAATTAGTTTCAGGTCTTCTAAGGAGTCCCACACTAATGACCTGCCCAGCTGCCAAACCACAAAGACAAACAGACACAAAATATAGCACACATGAGAAGAAACAGCACCTGAAAAATAGCCCCGAAACAAAACATTAGACTATCAGTTACAGGAGAGACTTAAGGTTGGGAAACAAACTTCTAACCAGAAAAGTAAAGAGAGTGAATATTATTTCTAGCAGTTCCAACAAAACTAATAAACACAAGAAATATCAGTTTGCTGTATGACTCGAGTATAAAAATAAGAAGAAAAAAACTAGAAGTTCCATGTTCCATTCAGCTCTTCTGATGTTTTTCCACATATGCCTGAAAAGAAATGAAAATATGAAGATGGTAAGCAAAATATTGTCAACTGGCGCAACAAAAATTCAACTTTTAGTGAACACACGAGGGTTACAATTTTAGGTACTCCAAATTAGGTTAACGACATCAAATCATTTCAAGCTTTCACTTTTGGTCAGGGATCTGGCTTGAAGGAAAGGGTGAGTTATCACAGCAAAAAGTGATGACATGATGAATTCAAGAAATAGCAATCACAAAGTACCTATGGAGTAAGGTTTTCAAACAACAACAACAAGAAGAAGAAGAAAAATAGTTATATTAATATTGAGTACGATTATTTGACAAAAAGTGGGGATTTAGGTCACTAATAAGTTTTACAAAACTAATGATGAACTCTATTAACAGAGGAAGGAGTACAAATGTAAATGGTTTGCTCTCATACATGATTTGATTGACATCATAGATCCTTGGTTCCAGCAGGAGGTAGACCAAAGTTTAAAAAAGGCTTTGGTTATTAAGATGAAAGCTTAAAGGAAATAAGAACAGAGATGAGATCCGATTACATTATGACAGAGGTAACTACTGTGAGGACAAGGGGACATACAAACACATGTAAAATTTTAAAATTTTATCTTTCTCGCCTTTTCTAGCATTACCTTGCTAAACAAACGGACCCTAATGCTCCATTGAGTTTGCTATAAGATACAGGAAAAAAGAAAAGAGAAATTGGAATGCATTAACATCAATAACTTCAAAAGGCTGTTGATAGTTTTCTTTTCTCAGTCCTCTTGACAACACCTCCAGATCAAACAAAAAATAACAAAGACAAACAAATCAATTTTCATATTATCAATGTCTAGAAAGACTTTTTTTTCGGAATGTATGTCTAGAAAGACTTACTCAAGGCAAGGATTAACATTTTGTTTCGGTACATAGATTCACTCAGCTTCAACACGAAAAATGTTACGAATGTATTTCAAAGACAATGAAAATGAATAAAAAAATTGGAAAGTTGTTTTTGAAACATAGATCGAAACATACTAAAATACGTCGAAACATGTCTCAACCCGTAGAAACACCTTCAAATATAAGAATTCGATCACTAATTCCTTTTGATTTTCATGAAAACCCCGGCATTTCAGCCGTTTTGGAGAAAACTAACCAAACTTGAGTTTCTTGACCCCGGGGAAGAGTAGTGTTTAGAGAAGGAAGTCAAGAGCGAGCCAAATTATAACCAGAAATATATCATATCAAACAAAAGAAGTGCGATTTCTTTATTTTTTGCTAGGTTCCCATGTTTTTGAAATTATTATTCAACAGTAAAGGCAAAAGAATCACCACAAACCTGTACAAGTTTGGAGAGCTTTGGTTTTGCAGATAACAGATAGTTCTCAATTTTCTCTGTTGACTGAGGTATATTAGCCCCCTGGATGCTGCCAGTCACCTTATCAACCACTTTCTTCACTATAGTCTTGTGAGCCTCTTTGCTGATTTGACCATCTTTCCATTTTGGTTTCAGAAGCTCCTTCACAAACTCAGCAAGAGCAAATTTAAATGCACGATAGCCCTTTCCGTCAATGTGTTTTTTGCTCTCATGGGTGCTCCCATCTCCATCTATCTTGACCAAGCTAGCATTGTCTTCTAATTTCTTGTTTTCCTCGGCCAGCATTCCATCATTTTCCTCACGTTCACAGTGAGCAGTTGGATTCATTCTATTCAACTGGCAACTCGCATTATTGAGTTCAACATCTAAATTACCGGTCTTACACAGATCACCACCACTTGAACTAGAGACAGACAATGGGAATAACATTTGTGATGGTATTTCTGGTTTCTGATCTGCAGTGTTTTTTGTTTCAACAGAATTGGGTCCAAAACCTGCACATGGGTTACTAACATCAGATTTAAACAGCTCAATGCTATCATCTATAGGATCGTACTGCTTTGGGGGCCCAATGCCTGCATTTAGCTTACTGGTTGCTGCAGCAACCAATGCAACAGGGCCTGCAGCGTTGGAAAGTGGCGAAGACACAATTCCTGTTGATTTTGACCCATTCAGAGCAGCATATAGTTGAGGAAGCGGTTGCCCATTTTCTAATAACCGAGCCAAAGAGGAGGAAAGTTTAGAAATTTCTGAGATTTTTTCCCTGCTTACAATGTTATGACTTGGTGGAATTTCAGACAATATCACTGGTTCATTTTTATATACAACATCAGTTTTACTAAATGACATGCCCTGCTTGCGCAGTTGTTGATTTGGTGTATTAGTAATAATAGTTCGTCTTGGATCTTGTGGCGCAATTGTATGCTGAATTTGATCAACTGCATTTAAACCTGGAAGAGGTTGAGTGACTGCACTTAAATTCTGGCTGTTTTGATCCAGGCTTTGACTTGGCAGGACAGTAGCCGAGATATTTAGATCAATGCTTCTCATGGCAATATCTTTAGTTCCTCTCCAATCCTCACAGTCAGCAGCATTCTCCCTCAAATCATGGTTCGATTGTAAACAGTAATTTTCAGATACCAATGGGTGCATGGTTACAAAAGAGTGATGCTTCTGACTTCCTTCTTGAGTTGTATCCTGTTCACCAGTTTGCAAAGTGGATTCAATTTCATCCAGATTTAGAGATTGTGAAGTCGGAGCAATATCACCAGGCTCTCCCCTGATGATGTTGCAGGGAGACGACAATTTATGATCCCATGCAGGGGACATCTCCATATCACCAAACCAATTTTCACCACCCCTTGACTCAGAGACACACATGTCAGCACCATTTTCCGCTTCGTGCTGAAGATAGTCCCTCTCATCACTTTCAACTGTTTTAGTACTATCCTTCTGTTGAACCTGAGATCTGTTCTCATTGTTAAGACTATGTTCCCATCTGTCATTCATAGACCATCGTCTAGCCTTTTGTTCAGGAACACCCACAATTCCATTTCTGCTCTCATTCTGCTCAGGCAACTTTGCAACAACTGACACAGAAGTGTCGTTCCATCTCAAACTTTCCCTGAGTTGGTCGACATTACCTAAATTTTCGCTTCGCCTCCTCCAATCATCTCGTGGCCTGTCATTGGGACTGTCACGTGTCTGGCGATGGTGAGAAAACCGGCAAAATTTACCATTTCGACAATTGCCCGCGCCAAAGAATTTGCAGGGAATATCACCACTTCTACAGGTTTCATGATTCCTACTACGCTCAAAGGATGCACCTTTATTTCTTCTGTCATTTTCCCTTTCTCTGAACTCTTTGTTCGGAGACCCTTTACGAATCTGATCAGCTGCAGCAATGTGATGAGCATAATTGCACGATTCTCCCCAACGACACTTGCCTTTAGAAAAATCACTACAAAGAACATTAGATATCAACTGTTGTTTCCTGTTATCATCTGAAGTCAAATATTTAGAAGCTTCACCCCTCCTGTGTCTACCCACCCAGCCATCTGTCACAGAACCTTCATACAATTTCCGATCCTTGCTGTTTTTGTCATCCTGGTGACCATAAGAGCAAGAATCACCTCTCCTGCTCCTCCCAGTGGTAAAACCTTCACGAGGCTGGGTAACAATACTTCTGTTATTTAATTCTGATTCCCGCTTCAAGCCACGTTGTGGACTCCTGCTCCGACTCCTGCTATTTCTACACATAATAACCAGGGCCAGAGCTTGCAAAAATAAGGGAACTAATTGCTTTTAAATCATCGAAAACAACATTTGCAAATCACCACATAAGATTAAGCTGATACTCTGTTGTAGAAATGTTTACGCTGTTGTTTTATTGTTTGTCATTTCATAATTACATACTGTAACTGAAACTTGTAAAGCTGAACTTCCAGGTGGTCAGAAGCTCAGGATTCGTAAGACATGTTGCTTCTGACATAATACAGTATACGGAAACTAATAATGGAGATGTTTTTGAAAATCCAAGGATGACTTCCAGTGGAGTTCCAATTAAGATTACCAATTTTGGACATGACACAATAACACGACTTGAAACTGAAATGAAATTAGCGGGTTAGGATTAATTAATTCTCTACATGAACCCAAAAATAACATGACTAGCTAGGTCGGGGAGTGCTAAATTTTCAATTCGCAGGTTATAAGGGTCCACTTGAACACAACACAATAATAAATAGGTCGGGCAAGGATAAGAATATCGTTTCAAAATAGTTGAAACATCCGAAACGTTTTTGTTTCCAAGGAGACCAAAATGAATCAGTGATGAAATCGAAATTCTAATACTTTAAGGTGTTCCATAATGTTTCAAAATGTTGTTATATTTCAATGCGTTTGCACAATTATTTCAAAATGTTTCAAGGTATTTCAAGATATTTTGATATATTTAGACCAATGTTTTGAAAAAATGATTCTTAAATTTTTTATTTTTTTCCATTCTATTTTCGAAACGGATCGAAACGTTTCTAAAACACGTCAAAACGTTTTCGTTTCCTAGGTAACTGATACAATGCACCGAAACAAAATTTTGATCCATGAGGTCAGGTTAGTGTTATGACATCCGACATAAATAATTAAACATTTTGGCTAGGATAGACTAATATTCAACACAAACACGAAATGACACGACCCAACACTCGCCCCTAGGGCCATTGCCTATGACAACGTCAGAGGGCAAAAGAAGCAAAGCATATTCCATCATTTTGTATTAACCACAATATTAGGAGTAGCAGCAAATTAAAAAATTTCCCTGAGAATAGCATCCCATGACATAGACTTGGCTTATTTGATTTTGGGAAGTAAAAACACTTCTCCAATTATAATATAAAACCATGCAAAACAAGCATCACAACAAAATCGGTGTTATTCTGCATATACATATTGGTTAGAGATNAGAATAGCATCCCATGACATAGACTTGGCTTATTTGATTTTGGGAAGTAAAAACACATCTCCAATTATAATATAAAACCATGCAAAACAAGCATCACAACAAAATCGGTGTTATTCTGCATATAAATATTGGTTAGAGATTTGGTTACAAAATATGCAAACAGAGCCAGAAAGATTTTATCAGTTGTGCACAAATTGGCATGCCAAGTACAAAAAAGTAAACCTGTATGATCTATCATAACCAGTTTTACGAGAGTGGTGGTGCTGCTTGAGTTGCCTCCAGTCCTCGAGACCAGGAGACATTTTTGTGCTGTAACTTCCATCTTCATCCCATTCCATTGTGGGATCCGAGAATTCTCCACCATCTTTATAGTCTGCAACTGCACCAGACCACTTTGGATCATTACCACTAGCATTTTCATGAGAAAAACACAAAGGTTGTGATTTCCTATTGTGAATTAACTTGCCTGATCTCCCAGGCCAGGCATCCTTGTGCGTGTTCCCAGGTGAAAGTTGAGGTACTTCCTTCAGATCCCACTTAGAAGTGCGTTTCCTGCCACTTCCACTCATCCCTTCCCTTCCAAAAGCAGGTCACCGACCTCAAATCAAGTACAATGGGATCTGGATGAAAAGGAAACACAGTGCATTAACACACTCATACAAAATTCAAATTTAAAATCACTTCCCCCTTTAAAACTAATCTCAATGGATACAAATTGGCTTGTTCCTTTTTACTACACTGGTTATTTAAAACCTGCTGTTATGTTTCAAGTGTGCAAAAAATACAGTAAGGTTCAAATCTTCAAAATTGAGATAAAGTTTACAACAATTATGATCGATTACATTACCCCAAAAATTTCACAAAAAAATTAAGTGATTGTTATCAGACATAAAATGATGCTGATAACTGTAAGCACCGCAACTAAACAACAAACTGTTTTCCTTACCATCAAACAAAACCCATCTGAAATTTTCCCCAAAAAAATGGAAAAGGAGTGGTAAAAGGACAATGAATTATTTAAATCACCCAGATTTATGGTAGTGATGAACTCAAGCGAGTGTGCAACAAAACATGCATGTCTATTTTCATATATGTCATCAAGTATGAAGCGCATTCAAAAGAGATCCAACTAAAATTTAATTTTACCAATTCTGTTTTCCTTTGCAACAACAGATAATTAACCAGGAATGAAATTAAGAATAGGCACCTCTGATTTCTCAAAAAAAAAAAATCAAACATGGGAAGAATAATGATTTACTATACTAGAACTTAACTAAATTCAACAGTATGAGCACAAAGACTGAAAGACATGGAACAGAAGACACAGATCCTATGGACAAGGCATGGAAGCCTTACTTTTAAAGTAGATTGACCCAAAACAAACAGCCAAAAAAAGGACAAATAGAAGGCAGGCTTTAATACAATTTTTTTAATCATTTTTTGGTTTGGATTTTTGATTAACAAGGATATATCTAGGCCTCCAAATGCACACAACTAATCTTCCAAGACACATGCAGCCTCTCTGTTGCATACTTGCTTTACAAGGCCATAACCCTCTGGCAGTTGGCCCAAGGAAGATGACTTCATCTCCACCTTTTAAAAAGGATCCTCACCACCTCATGTACCCTTTCAAGTTTTATCATGCGATACAAAGTAGTCTATTTTAATAAGACGCCTATTAAGTTAAAATATGTAGACTTAACCATAAGTTCCAAGATCGTATCTTAGAGGGGGCAAAAAAATTGACCAATAGGTATAATTTTTTTTTTTAAAACTCCATTAATAAGGACTAAATTGACTATAAATTTCATAATCTTGTTGAGAAATTAGCTTTTTTGGAAAGGTATAAATGATTTTGGGTTACTATATCTATTTGTGTTACTGAGTTACTAGCTACAAACTAAATTAAACATAATTTTATTTCTATAACAATACATATGGGATAATACCCCAAAAAAGTCAATGGGGGAAACCGCCCCCGCAGATGTATATGTAGCTCCACCCCTGCTCAAATCTATGATCATTTCCAAATGTTAGAAACAAAAAAAGTCATTACCCATTTTGGTCCCAAACTCCCAAATCCCAATAACCGAAGGTACTCAGGGGGATGGACTAGATACAAACCTAAGATTTTGCATTTACTTGACAAAGTGGCTGTTTGAACCCACGAACTTTTGGTTGTTAGCCCGAGCACCTAACCAATGCACTAGACAATGACTCCCGATCATTCCCAAAAGTATGATGCAAAATTAAATTTAAGCAAATACACCAAAAAGTTTCCAACCAAACTTTACTGGTTGGACTGGTGGAGTTCAATTTCTACTGGACTGACATTGTAACCTATATAATTTGGAGAGGGAAAGCAACAATACACGACAGAAGTCCACATACCAAGGAACTGAACCAATATGATCATTAGTTACACAAAGGTTAAACAACTGTAAGGACTCCACATCACTCGCCTACAAGTGTATATGTCACAAAATTCTCCCAAGTCTCAACAAAACTAATATGGTAAGCAACTTCAAGCAATCCATAAGGTGGGTAACTCCTTTTGATTTGGCGACTATTCTTTTTCTTGGTTGAGAAGGAAGCACTAAACCAAGCTGAGTAGAGCTCAAGTTCAATTATTCTTTACGTTACACAGCTCGACGAATGGTTTGCCCATCTTCAGCAACTTTCTTTTTCTGGTGGAGGGACAATAAAACAGATGCAAGCTGAGCAACCTTGAGCACACTAATCATTTCACTGAAGAAACCAATATAGCATGCCAGGCGTAACTTGCAATGCTTAGTGCACCTGAAAAGCTAGGCTAAGCTCGGGGGTAGCAAGTAATGATGTGTGTCCATCATGTCTATTGTCTGCGAATTAGTTTGCTACATTATCTCTGTTTTGTGCAATCAACTTCAGAGATGCTTAATTTTTTGAGTTCTAAGGATGTGTTATCCTCTTCAAATTTTAAAGTTGACTCGAACTTTTCTACGAAACAACCCAAACTAACTAAGAGTCCACNTGTTATCCTCTTCAAATTTTAAAGTTGACTCGAACTTTTCTACGAAACAACCCAAAAAACTCAGACCCAAACTAACTAAGAGTCCGCCCATAGAAATCCTTCCTAATCATCCAATTTTGTGTGTGGCTACTGGCTATCACCTCAACAGTCCGTCCAACTTGTATAGTCACCCCCTTTCACTGGGCCACAAAAATCCTTCCTAATCATCCAATTTTGTCTGTGGCTACCAGCACCTCAACCCAGTAACAGTAACGACTTCAACAAAAAATAGTCCTTACTGAAGCAATTATTGGTGCTCCATACCCATGATCAATCAATCTGAGGCAAGTCTCCCTCAACTTGATCTCAAATGGTGCCTTCAGAAGCTATGCATGGTGCATTCATCTCTTGTTAGTATTTTTTCTTTAAACGCCGCCACTGATCCATCTTAAAGTCAATTGTTTGTTGGCAGTGGCATTTCAACATGCTGTTTTATCTACAAGACTACAACCCAACATGCACTACTGCAAAGAATACCTAACCACCTTGTTGCTTACTGAGGGTTAAATTCACAGACAACTTCAAGAATCTAAACATTCTGAAANACTGATCCATCTTAAAGTCAATTGTTTGTTGGCAGTGGCATTTCAACATGCTGTTTATCCTACAAGACTACAACCCAACATGCACTACTGCAAAGAACACCTAACCACTTTGTTGCTTACTGAGGGTTAAATTCACAGACAACTTCAAGAATCTAAACATTCTGAAAAAATAAAAAATAAAAGAAACCAGGATATGTTCAGCATGCAGTAATGAGGTGTCTAGAATACATCCTATTCAAATACCAGGCCATGACTGTTTATGTTGAAAGTCAGAATTGATGCTTCATGTGGGAATGAAAATACCTAGACAATGTAGGTATCTTAGGCACAGTCATTGATATGGAGCTCAGATTTGAGCGTCAAAGCTCTCTGGTGACACCTGTAATGTAGATTGCATGACTCATNAGAATTGATGCTTCATGTGGGAATGAAAATACCTAGACAATGTAGGTATCTTAGGCGCAGTCATTGATATGGAGCTCAGATTTGAGCGTCAAAGCTCTCTGGTGACACCTGTAATGTAGATTGCATGACTCATGTATTTATACCTGCCTGCTTTTATTTCAACAGAATCACCTGGACTGGTTATTTTTTGCAGTTTCTTTTGTATAGGTGCTAACTTCTTCATTCTAGTTTATTTTACTTTTTGTCGAATGACTAGGTGACACAGTGGTAGTCCTCCCACACTACACAAACGCCTCACATTCTAGGATGATGGTGGGATACAAACCCAGGTCTCTTGTCTGACTACCTAGAGATCTTACCAGCTAGGCTAGGTGGCAAAGGTCTAATAGATCAAGCATCTAACATCTTATGGAGGCTCTATCTCTCATTTTGGTCTTGTTGCTCCTCTCTCTCTCTCTCAACCCCTCCACTCCCACCTGCTCCCACTGNATACAAACCCAGGTCTCTTGTCTGACTACCTAGAGATCTTACCAGCTAGGCTAGGTGGCAAAGGTCTAATAGATCAAGCATCTAACATCTTATGGAGGCTCTGTCTCTCATTTTGGTCTTGTTGCTTCTCTCTCTCTCTCTCTCAACCCCTCCACTCCCACCTGCTCCCACCGAACAAAAAAAATTCCAATGTAATCTTGCATTGTAGTAATGCTATTTTTCCACTCTTTATCTATGGAGATCTACCCATTTTTTGAGCCCTCGAATAATCTAAATTACGTGATTCCAAAAGGCATATTTGAAACTTATGTTCATTTCAAGATTGATATGTCTAGATCAACCACAAAAACTGGAATAAATCCTCTTATCTTCGACTCTGTATTCTTGGGAATTTCATAACTAGATATTGGTCCAATTCATGATCTCCAATTCCAATGAACCAAGGGCACCTTAAAGACAAAGTCTGATGCCTACCCTAAGAAATACGCCAAATTTCATGCTCCAAACTCTGTATTCAAGCTTCTCTAAATCATATCATGATTTTACAATTTTATACTAATCAACATCTTCCTCCAAAATAATTTCAAGACAAGAAGGGTCATAGCTGGTAATGTCAGAGAACCAAGATTTAAAAACTCCTCAAGTGACCCATTGCAGTAGAGCCCAGAGGGAAAGTCCCAAAAAGTTACACGGAGCCCCCCAGCCCTCAACCACTGCCCCTGAGGGCAGAAACCTCTGCCTTCACCTTTGGAAACCAGATCAATAACGACACCGTGATGATTCAATTCTTGAAATTAAATTGCTTTCCTCAATGGTTTGGCCTGTCACAGTCACCTTTCCTGGGAAACAAAAGCTTGCAAACCTGGCACACCTGTGAAAAATGTTCAATATGCTTTCTTCTGCATTGCTATCAAATCTCGAATTTAAGGAACATGAACCCCTATTAAGGGTCACCATGGTTGAGCCTCTAGGATTGTTCATTAAAAAAAGCACTTTTAGCGTATAAGCCAAAGGGCAAAGATACAGGCCTGCCCAGCACCCACCGATTCCCCTATACAGCTAGGCTATATATAGTACATACTATTTATACAAAAAGTCGTATAGCAAACTTAAGACGAATTATTCCAAA